ATGACATTCAAAACGCCTACTCTAGTTCAGGTCGTGGCTGGTATGATCTTGCTGCGCCCCTAGCCGACCCTTTTCCACCTATGACATTCTTGGAATACCTCAACCAAGACGCTGTGCGACAAGCTATCGGTTCTCCTATCAACTTTACAATGACCAACATAAATGTCAATCTCGAGTTCCAATCCACGGGCGATCAGGCGCGTGGCGGCAATATCGCCCGTCTAGCTTCTCTCCTCAATTCAGGAGTACGGATTGCCCTGATATACGGAGATCGTGACTATATATGCAATTGGCTTGGTGGAGAAGCTGTTTCGCAAAGCCTGGCCAGCGAAGCAGGCGGTGAATACAGCATTCGGTTTCCTGACGCTGGATACGCACCCATCATTGTCAATGAGTCGTACATTGGTGGTGTTGTTCGTCAGTTCGGCAACCTGTCCTTCAGTCGTGTTTACCAAGCAGGCCACGCTGTGCCTGCTTATCAGCCTGAGACTGCCTTTCAGATTTTTGCTCGTATAATCCTGGGCACTTCGATTTCTACTGGCAAGGACATTGATACCGCCACGTATAATACCACAGGCGATGCCAATGCGACCCATACTGAAGATCTTCCTAAGCAACTGAATCCTACGTGCTACGTTCGGAACTTCCAAGGCAGTTGCGATGAGGGCGCCCAGGAACTAGTCAAGGATGACAAAGGGACTGTGGTTAATGGCATACTGTATACCTCGAAGGAAGATTGGCCGCTGCAAGCAGAAACGACGGAGACACCAACAACATCAACTTCAGATCCCAGCTCAACATCGGATATGACCGGTGTATATACAGCAACCGAAACACCTGATGCTGCAGCATGGAACCCGCCCAATTCAGGGCTAGTGGTTGCCATTGCTGGCATATTGGTATTGCAGGCTGTTGCATGAGCTCCCCAAGTCTGAGGGAACACTGTATTGTTTGTTGCACCTGCGCAGCACGAGCAGAGATCATTGTTATAGAAAAATCATGGCGTTATCCCCCAAGGTTTTGTGGGTAATGGTAATTAGCACCGGTTGGAAAAGCATCGCATTGGAATACTTCTTATTTGGATAAGGCGCGTTGAGCCAAATAGCATAGGGGGTACTGAAAAACTCGAGATACCCTACATTGTCGTATATATAATATCTATAGAGTTAAATATAGCACATCCTGGAATGCGCTCTTGTCTTCGAGTCCTATGATTCTCTTGGGCCGTTCTGTTCTTCAATTTTCATTCGAATTCCATACCTATGTGCAGCATCTGAAGACTGCTCTCAATTGCTAGATTGGTTTCTATCAGGTCTGTCTAACACTGGTGGGGTATCATTTTATCGTGTCTTCGTAGTGAACAAAATCGCAAATGTGACCTAAAACCGCGGTCATTCTCCTCTCTTCTCCCTCTTGAGCGGCCTTCCGGGGACAGCCTGTGAGCCTCTAACTCGAAGTTCGTCGTCGCCGTCGCCTTCGTCTTCTTCATCCATCATTTCCTGCTGCTGCTGTGCCAGACGAACACGCTTGATACGGCGCGCCATGGCTTGGTCCTGGAAGAACTCGTGGTCGAATCGCGCACGCGTGAATTTCTATACACCAAGTTAGTCAATAGTACTTGGATGATGGAGAGTGAGCGGACCTGTGAGCATCCTGCTTGTGGACATTGAGATTCTCCTCGCATGGGTAGATACTCGAGCAGAGCGGCCTTCTCGAATGTATGTTTGCAGTTCCGGTTGGTGTAAGGATCCTTCATGGGTTGTAATGTCAAAGGGCAGTTAATGCTCTTGACCTCGCGCTCAACGGCAATATCGTCATCGTCGTCTCCTACCCCGGCACCTGCTCCCTTGACGTCACCGGTCATGATAGGCTCGCCATCGGCAGTGAACCAGCGTGAGGCATCGGGCAGTGGGGGCCCCTCATCGCCAGCCATAGCATCGTGCCACAGCTTTTTGAAGCCAGCGTAGTCGTTATTGAGAGCATAACGCTGATGGGCGGACATTTTAGTATATTCAGTGTCTTTCTTCTGGCGCAGTTCTTTGTAGAGTTCGAGTAGGCTTGTTGCACCCCGCGGCTCCTGCTCGTCATCCTGCTCGCTTCGTTGGGCGCCCACTTGTCTTTGTTGGGCAGCTTCTGCACTGGCCGTGTCATGCAACTCGCTGAACATGGCATCTTCGTCTTCCAATTCTGCTCTGCGATCGATCATATCACGAATGGCCTGTTCCGATGCCGCTGTCAGTGTGTTAATGCGCTCCTCCAATTCAGGGAGATGAGCTTCGAGGCGTAGCTCGTCCTCAGATTTCTCTGTCCCCTTCTCCTCTCTCCGGAGTTTTAGGCGGGACAACTCTTCGCGCTGCATGCGCAATCGCTCGTGTATATCACTGACACTGAAGCCAAGTAATCGGACAGATTCGTTGATCTGCTGTTGATATGCGGCTGTTGAGCGGCTGTTTGACAAGTCGTGCAGCTTGCGGCGAGCAGTGTCGGTGAGTGGACATGCTGGTGGTTCGTACCCAGGTAGCTCTGTAGATGAATTACCAGTGCGGTTGATGGCTCTCCGAGACATGTTGAGATCTTGATATGGCAGCTGTATAATCAATCAATTGGGAATGACATTGATGTTTGAGCAGTTGGTGGAGTGTAGTCTCTGTTAGCGACACGACACGCGTTAATTGAAAGAGAGACGCGACATTTTCAGATGGGTGAGTGGGCCTGTCTTTCTATCCGTACCCGCCTACCTACCTAAGTCTAGTAGGTTTGAGTGTATCGCCTACCCTAGACCTCTAATCTACTCACCCTAGCCCCATTTTGATTTGGCCGTTTTGAAGGCCAATGTGCTGTGGCTCTCGTCGGCAGGTGCCCAAACGGTACTGTAATATTTCACTAACATGGATCGGAGAGACATCTCGATGGATTGAGTGTCACCAAGTCAAAGACGACAATATCAAATGTTTCGCGAACGAACCGAAAGGAGCAGGGGGCTCAACCCAAGCGCCTGTCGATCTGAAGAATGGCTGCAGCGTCATTGATCCATATCACTCTGACAGAATGAAAAAATAATAATGAATGAGAATCAGCTATCTGACATTTAGAGCGAGTACAATAAATCGCCAAAAGACGCACAGCAGTCATCAAATACGAAATCGCAAGAATAGCGACCAACTGACAATGTCAGGGCAATGAATGCATCGACGCCAACTGTAGCTTCATCAGAAGCGAGGACGGGTTATTCCAGCAGCTCAACTCAGCCCAGCCTGGCTCGGCTCACAACCTACCTACCTTACCCACTCAGCGTCACCAGTGACGACAGTAAAGGTCTAGACTCTACAAGGACCAGGCACGGTGTCGTAGTCATAGTTTTGGACGTGGCCATGGACCTTCTCCAACATCTCGATGCACTTTCCGATGTCTGCGGTCGTTGGCGAAAACCGACCAGTGAAATCCTTGTCTCAGGCGTTTGTCTTGAATCGGAGACAAAAGAAAATAGGGCGGGCGGGGAGACGGAAGCCTCCAATGTGCTTGTGTTTGATCACGGCAACCAAGACTTGGTTCCACGCATCGAAGCCTTAGCAAGCCATCGCGCCTCAACACCAAACAAGCTCTTTCTCACCCTGGACCTGTGCATCGCTCATCGGCTACAGCATCGATCATGCAAAAGACGGTCGCTTGTGAAATGGGCCAAGGCTGGCCAACAACGCATGCGCATGCGCATACGCACACGCAAATGTGTTGCTCATGTTAGCGAGGAGGGTCCAGATTCAATCGAGCCCAGGCCGACGACGAATTGATATTGGCGCATTGTCGATGCTATCAAGAAGTCATCGTGATGATGGGTAGACAAAAGCAACAACAAAAAAAAACAAAAAACGAAAACAAAAACAAACACAACCCGGGAGCGATCAATATCTCTTGCATACGATAATCGAATTCGAAACGCCAAGAAGAAACAAGCCAAATGACAATCGATAGATATTGTGAGGCACTGTACTCCGTAGGTATTCTGTGTATTTGGCTTGATTGACTAAGAAAACTGCCGACGACAAGATACAGTCCATTGCACCGATCCAGAGGCCTAGTTCAAAGTACTCAGCGATCTCAGCAGTGTACGTACCTTTGCGTTTCACCAATCTGACAGGTCGTTCCTTGACTAAAGTGGAGATCCTCGTCGATGAGTACCGATCTTGTGTCTCGAGACTGTCGCTGGCGATCTCTTCAACTGCTCGGGGACCATGAGAATCGAGCACCTTGAACCAATCGAACAAGACCCTACGAATTGGGTTTCTTTACCCCTACCCGTACCTATTACGCCTACACCTCGCTGTGGTATCCAGACCCCTGCTTCAATGCCCGTTTGACCACTGTTGGGCTGTTTGTTGAAGCAAACATGAGGCTGTATTGCAAGCCCCCAGGACTCAAGAAAAGGTGCAAATCATGCTCAAAATACAGCCACTCATCCGCGAAAATGCTCCTCTCCTCATTCTCAGTGAAATGCGCACTACTTGACGCCCCCAACATCAGCAGCTGCAGTTCAACACCATAAACAGCAGAGCAACTCCCAGGACCATACCAAGACTATCTATACTCACACCAGATCGTCATCACCCACACCCCCAAAGCATCCGCCGTCTCTGTCAGTTCCCTTTCAGGGTCCATCACGATTTGCATTCGCATTTGGAAACCATTGAAAGCTCCGCCCGCACAGTTATTCCCTGACAAGTCTGACTGTCTTCTGGCACCTCATCTGGGATAACTATCCAGCCGCATCCTGGACGATCCAAGAGTTCCTCCTCGCTTACCTGCCAGTTCATTCATCCCTCAAACTTGCAACCTATCCGCTTCCAGCTTTTCTATCCGACTGATACCTGACGACTCCAACATCCTGCAACGCTGCTGATTGACTCCGTCATACTTGACTGCGTTTATTCTGGTGCTACCTCAGCCGAGGACACAGGGGCCCGGGCCTATATATCACCTTACTCATATCTCCCGTTATCCTCGACATGACAGCTTCCATGCGTGCCATCTCTTCAACACTACCGCTGGGCTTTCCATCCTCACGCTCGCCCTCTCCTCACTGCTCGGCCATGGCGTCCAAGACAGTTCCAGCTATGAATCCCTGGGAGGTCAATGCTCTCAATGTAGGTTTCAAAAGTGATCTTTGTCCAAAGTGGCACCCATTGACTTTTCCATAGTATGAGTTCCCTCAAGAGGGCTCTTTCAATGTTGACGGCACAGTAAACTCTGCAGGTACTTGGCGTCGAGTTCAAGACCCCGTCATCTACCCCGGGCTCTACGCTCCCAGTGGGATCGACATCATGTCCATCTTGGTGAGCCGACTTACACCATCACTAATCTGCCCACAGGCCACTAACAATAAAACAGTTCCGTGTCATGGGCCGACCAAACCCTCAAGTTGTTCTTGGTCCAGTGGACTGTTCGGTCGCTCTTGTCGTGTGCGACATGGGCCAGGCCGATGCCCCCGTCATCTATGTTTCTGACTCGTTCTCCGAACTCACTGGATACACGGCTCGTGAGGTTCTTGGGCGAAATTGCCGCTTCCTCCAAGCACCACCAGGGCATGAACGGTCTCTTGACAGGAAGGGTACGGACAAGGTCGCTTCACACCGCATGCGTCAGGCCGTCTGTGCTGGAAGGGAGATTCAGATCCCCGTCACCAACTACAAGAAATATGGCCAGCCATTCAACAACCTTCTCACCATAATCCCCGTTCCTGTCGATGAAACTGGCTGTCGTTACTGCATCGGCTTTCTGAGTGAGATGGACTGAGTAGTCAAGTCAACATTATCACAGTAGTGTTCGATAACACTGCTGACGACGATTTGACAACAACAGTGATAGTCTCAATATTGAACTGCCAACGACGTCATCATACCGCGCCTCACAACGAAACAAGGGCTCTCTCTGACGAAATTCCAACAACGACACCAACTTCTTACACTTATCGGCATACAAACCTGGTCTACCAGCATTCTTCGAGATCCTTGTCCGACTTGCACTCACTCCACTTTGTAAATTTTGGAGGTGCTCAGCCAGTTCCGGTATCTCTTTGCTTTAAGGCATTTATGAATATTTACGATACCCTTTGCATTGGCGTATTACTTTCTCAGTCAACACATTCACGGCTCCTAGCAGGAGAAACACTTCAAGGTGTTCAGGTCTTTTCTTTTTAGTAGAACAAATGGTTAAGCGTTGTTATTCTGTTCCCACTGTTCTGGTCTTTTCTTATCATAGTCTGATGATTTACACTCCCACGTTAAGACTTTTGGATTTTTAGATTTTATTAGCTGGAAATCAAGCTCGGGCTTGCATAGTACAGCAACGTGGGTTGGGAAAAGACTTTTTTTTCTTTTTCTTTTTCTTTTTCTTTTACCATAGACGTCGCTGTCAGGCACGAGCATACCATGTTGGGCGCAGGAGGAGTACATACATACACGCATTTGATTTGATTTGATTTGATTTACTTGGCATTGTGTGTTGTCGATTTGATGGGTGAAGCAAGATGGTCACGAGGACCTGAGTCAGAGTTGCGTGGAATCACGACAAAATACGATGGGATGCAGTATCTGGAGATGCTGTGGACGATCTGACCGCCGCTGTCAGATCATGGAAATACATATGTACACACAAGAAACTTTTCTGAACCAACAGCATTTCTTGTTCATCAGCCGGCATTTGTCTGTGATTGTCCCGTATCAACCGAAGACCCTTGTCTCGATCTCCAGGCCTCCCTGTCATGCCACGAGATCGAGCCAAGGGCTTGACAGGTCAAACCAATACTGTACTCTCACTGTACACTGATGCCCAAAAACTCAAAAACTCAAAAAAAAAAAAAGTCCAAGGGATAGCAAAATGGGTCCCCGACGTTTTCTGTCACTGCCAAACTTGGTAAAGGCGCAAATAAAGTTTTGTGTCAGAACTTGGCGATTGCTTCAGCAAGTTCCTAGAAGGGTCAGAGCTATCAGCTCAGCAGGGAACTTCATGATTTTACTAATGCGTATATGCAACGCAAACTCCAGTCCGTGGATACTGCTAATGTACGTGGTGTCGATGGTCTAAGCATACCAAGGAATCTCTTCCAGAGACTGACAGAGAGCCATCGTGTAAGTGCGGTGACTACACACTTGCTTGACGGGCACTCATACAAATAACATATTTCCAAGGCTGAACATTTGTTTATTACTACCTGTAATTAAAGCACGCCTTGCAATAAGTCTCCGCTGCTGGCTTCGTGGCAAGATTTGACGATAGCGCCCCTCAAACACACGTCCTATGCATTCCATATGTAGCTGTCTGGGTCGGACCTTTGATAAGGGGGGCGCTCTAACGAGTCGGACTCTGAAGGTCAGTCTATAGGCTACTTAAGGGTGGGACATTGCTTGGCAGGCGGTCACACCTTTGCGGTCCTCTGATCTCTCAGACAATCAAGTTAACTCGGCGTCTTTCTATCATTCCCTGTTTGCCGTCAGTCTGGTCGCAAATAGAGAAGACTGATTAACCCGAAAGTGATAGACTATGTAATGCCTTGAATTGATTGATACTCATGGGGAATGCCAGGCTTCTGAAAGCAAGGGATGGCAGAAAGACACTGAGACGACTTGTGATTCATTCCCTAGTAAGAGTTGACCATAGACCGTTCTGGTCATCAACGTGAATCTAAAGATGTTTATTCATTGTAGAGTATCAGTTAACTGCCCCTAGATAAGTATCATAGGTATATCACGGCCCCAGATCTTGAACCAGAGACTGATTGTGCTCTTTAGGCTTGGTAGGAATAGCACTTGATGTGAAAACTCTAGGAATTTTTGACTGCTCAGATGGTGAATATCCTTAGCCTAGAAAGCTTCTGGTACTGGTAATTAGATGCTGTTCATGCTTGAGTAGGCAGTATTGTAACTGCTGATGACCTAGAGGCTTCTGCCATACCCACCATGATCGGATGGGAATATGTGATGTTTCATCTGAACTGTGCTTGGTGTCATGCGTAATACTTGTCCAACATGATGAAAGATCAACAAATCAAGAGCTTGACTTTTACCCACAGTGATTCTATGCAAGCCCAAACCCAGATATCCCTAATAAGCACAACTTTTCTGTATTTGTCCAAACTCCAGCCGTATGTAGAAAACAGAAACTCGGTCCAACATCTCATCCCTTGAGTTAAACTCCTCTGATTGAGATGTTCCACAAATACCAAAGTCCAACCAACCATTTACGCAGTAGTCTCCAGACACCCTACGCCATGCTAACCTCCATACCATGTGAAATTTCTCTCATGTTTCTCATGACAAATACACAGGCACTTATTTATGCCATAAAATCATCTTCAATGCTGCCTCGTCCACTGGGTTGGTTGAGATCAATCCTGCCAGCTCCGTCCACAATGTCATTAGTGTCCTGTTCGCCTGGTGCAGACGTACTCGAGCGGACCTGCACCTTGACTTCGCCTTGGATACCATCAACCCTTATCGTTGACACGGTGGTACCGCCAGGGGCAGGCCGAAGGTTAGGCGGTGGCGAGAGGTTGACAAGTTCACGGAAGAAGTTGTTGGCAGCCTCGCAGCCGTCCAGCAGCCACTTGAGACAAATCGTCACTCGCTCCTTGGCATATGGGTTGTGGTCGTCGTAGGCGCAGCAGTTGAGAAGAGGCACAATTCCGTTATACTTAACCATCTGCATCTGCACATCAGGGTTTCCAGGGCTGCTCTGACCTTGAGGCGGCTGTAAGAGAGTGGCGATAATGGTAAAGATTTGTCCTTTGATCCCGGACCAGGGGAACTTATGCGCTGGCTCCTGCAGAGGAGGAGGTGGTGGCGAGGGGGGGAGTCCATCTTCCGTAGCGGCGTATGGTCGCTCAACCATGGGGTTGCCGTCACTGTCATTCCGAGGTGACCGCTTGGGGAGCTCAATAAGAGGCTTCTTGGGCACTCCAGCCTCCAGCCCCGTCAAGATTGTGATGAGGTCGTAGATGGCCTCCCACTCGATCAGCTTGGCTCGAGTGTCCAGCATCTCAGCAACGGTCGTGAGAAAATCGAGGTACTGAGCCAAACCATCCTTGGCACGTTCCATATCCCAACTATCCACTGGAAACTCGGAAGGATCGCAGTTCTCTTCCCGAATTTGAGCTTGAAGATGCATGAGAGCGGCACATTCGGGGACGATACGGCTTCGAAAGAAACTCAAGAAGAAGTGAACAAGCTTGATGTCACGGGAATTGTCCTTTGTCTCCTGAGAAGCTGAGTTGTTTATCCGAGCTCTGAACATGTGGTTGACAAGTCGTAGAAGGACTGTCTGAGCGGGCGAGATGATATCCTTGGGAATACGGAGCGAGTTCCAGGCATATGGAATCAAGGCGCTATGATGAAGGGCCTCCACAATCTGAGTAGTGACCTGGAAGATGAGAGACTGCTCATCCTTCTCCCAGACAGCAATGAAGACTAGCATCTCTCTGAGGAGACTCTTTCCGCAGTCAAGGGCCAGGAACATACGACACCTGGTCTTCTGGAGGTTCTCGCCTGCTCGAGTCAACCCCGATCCGGCGTTGTCTAGAATGCATGACTTGACAATCATGTGCAGGGCCTCGATCTGTTTGGGATCCAAAATGTTGGGCACTTCAGTTAGCAGACCAGTCAGTGGCCCCTCCCCATAAGATTCATCATCGTCAGCGTCTTCTTCGTCCATGATATCCTCCACGTAGTCGTGAGCATACTCATGATCGTGATCATGATGATGATGGTGGTGATCATGTTCATGGTCATGGTGGTGATCACATTGACATACGCACTCCTGATCATCTTCATGGTGATGGTCATGGTGATGGTCGTGGTCGTGGTCGTGGTCGTGATCGTGATTGTGATCGTCATGGTCATGGTCGCACTCATGGTGATGGTCGTGGTGATGATCGTGATGGTGCTCATGATCATGCTCATGATCATCGTGTTCACAGTGATGGCAATGCTCGTGTTCCGAGAGCTCTTCCTCCTCAACAACACCTGGCGGCGGAGAGTGGTCTGTTCCACAAGAGTGAGCATATCGATGCACGAGATTATTGCGGCAATGTTCCAGGCGGCTCTGGGCAAACTCCACAGATGGCATCAGGACTAGCCATTCTTCGTAATTAGGGTCGCGGGCGTTCAGCCACCAGGTGTCAACTTCTCTCGAGACGCGCCCATATGCACGATCTTGTTCGAATTTGTCCGTCTCATCGGGCTTCCACACCGGGTTGATCTTATCCTCAGTGTTGGTGACATCTCCAGGAACATCCACAGAGCCATCCGGGAGCCAGTTCCAAGCCAGAGGTCGAATCGGGGCGAGGTTGCCGGGTGGTTTCGAGGCTTGGTTCTGGGCGTAATCTTTGAGCAGCTTCCTGGCAGTGTCACATAGCTTGGAGTTCCTATCGAGCCAGTGCTGGACCTGTCGTTTTGCCACGTCTGGGCGGAAGCCTGAGCCATCGCCCAGACTCTCCTCGGGACCCGAAAGCGCGCCGTCATCATCAAATAGGACGTCAAACCAAAAAGACATTTTGTTCCTGTCGTGTTTCGCAGTCCAGTTATGGGCTTGCTGTAAAGAAGTTACCAGCAGCTTTTTGTCTAGATTCTATTGTTAGTGTGGGAGTATGTGTCTCGACACCGTGGATACATACATAGCTCTGTGACATCACCGAGCTTTAATCTCTGGTTCTCATCGAGAATCTCTCCGTCGTAGCCCTTACTCGTTACGTTGACACAGAGAATGATGGTCTGGTATACCATTTGATCAAAGTGAACCGC